AACTAATGACAATTCTTAATAACATCGGTCGAACATGTGAAATAGATATCTTATGCGACATTCGCCAAGTGCCATAGAATTTCCGATGCGCCAGGAAAATTGGGCTTGTTACCTTATTGTCGAGTATAAGGATATCTTTCAAACACATTTCAGTCGAGTGCATTCCTTTTCTGTCAGCGTCGTCCTAAGAATTTCGGGTTCAATTACTAATTTATCGGTCCACTAGATGACAATAATTTTGCCAAATACAATTATTTTTTTTTTGAATGGTTGCTATCAAGATCTTTTTTTTTCTGATGAGGCTGAGCGTTATCACGTCTTGCATCATCAACGAAGAATAATCAACTGAAAGTTTCTATATCAGAAATCGTTGGGTTTTTGGGGTCATGCATTGACCAATCCAAGAATACATTGTAAGCTGACGGTTAACAACGTCTTGCAGATTGGTGGCTTACAGTATGTCCCCATCTTATTAGCTTTGAAACTTTAGATCGTATCCCGACCGACTAATTGTGCATCTTCACGAGCCTGATATGAATATGAATGAAACGGTTTCTTATTGTGCTTGGAATAACGGTATTGCATTACCCAACATTTTACTGCTCGATAATAATAATTTCTGATTTCATATTTCAATCTAAATATTTAGTAGACTGTTGATACATGACGTCACCTTCATGTAACTACTAACGTAGTAAAAGACATTCTTCATATGCTGACTGTGAATTAACACGTCGCTTTGAATTTGCAACTGTAACCAAGTGATGTATGATCAACATTAAATTACATGTTTATAATGTAGTCCCTAATGAAATCATGGAAGGGTTGTTTCAAGGTCGTGAGTAGTAAAGCCTGGTTTAAAAGCCGCTGACTGTTGTCGTATGTACTAAGCAGGAGAAGCCACAACTCCGTTTGCAAATACCCACGATTGCTCTCCCGTGATCGTTAACGACAATATACTGTATCTCAAGTTCTACTTTATATTTGAGCTTTTGAGTTGTATCTTATTTGCTTTACCAACTCAAGTTCAGGCACTTTTTTATTATTCATTAAACAAAGCATCTCAGGTACTGGTGCTCAGTACGTCAGGACTGTTCAGACGTAGTCTATGACTTCAGCTGCATCAATTTTTGTATTAGCAAGGTAACTTATTACCCACCGTTGGCCTATCCTAAACATTAATTAATTTCGGAGAACCAAAATTTAGCATATCTAACAAAATAAATTGGGGCTAATTCTAATGTAGTAGCCCCGAATTCAGAAAATAGTCTCAATATACGGTATGGAAAAGTAAAAGGTTACCAATTTTTGGTCACAGTTGCGAGTGAAATTACGTGTGTGGATTAAAAAGTTTTTATTCCATTCCTCTCGTTTTACGGACTTAGGACAAGCGATAAAAGCTCAAGTTCTGATGCATTCATAGCTATTCATTTAACTCTATTCACTAAAATTTATTAACGCTACAAAGTTATCCTGATTCTCAAATAAACAAAATCTGGTCGGTTTAGTATTGAGATTTTCGGCTCAATATTTGTTGAAATGACAAGACGCGACAGACGATAGTAAAACTAATGCAAATTTAATAAAGTCTTATAGACATAAAGCATTAACATTATGCACAGTCTGACAACTAGTTAAAATTTTCAATTATAGCAAAACTACTTGGAAGATAGTCCTTGATCCAGAAGGTCTTTGCAAAAAAAAAAAAGTTAAATCATATCCAAAAACCTTAATAAAACTCTTTATAAAAAATATAAACCTTATTCAAATTAAATTCCACATTCTTTTTTCAAAGTACAAAAAAATTATAATTAAGCAATTTTCTGCAATGTATTCTCCACGACAATGTGCGCTTCATTACACATCTAAAATTTATTGATAGAAAGAGCGATCAAATTTTGTCACGTCTATCTTAAGCCTTATGTATTTACGCGGACTAAGATAATAGATTGTTGATCGTAATGGGGCACGTGAACGTTTTGTGCCCAATCGTAACTGTAATAAGTAGTCGCGTTAACGCTACAATAATCACTGTCACAAGATAATTTTCGTCCACTAATTTTCTCTGTTGTTCTGCTAATTTCGTATTTTTGTTGTAATAATGTCTTTCTAATTTAGCCTTGATTAAATGTTCTCTGAATTTTTTCAGTAAATCTTTTGCCTCTTCTTCCTTACTATTACGAGCATTATACCGTAAGCTGTTCCGGAAATGTTGGCACGTGTCACATAAATCCGTTCTTGGACTCATGATTTGAACAATAGGCGTTGGTGCCATAACTTGTGGAAAGCATCGTGCTTTAATAATTTCAACGTACGTGTTATTGTTTTCAAGACCTGTGATAAAATTGTGATAGACCGATTTGTAACTCGTTTCAGCTGGCAAAAGCGTAAGCGATTGAGTAATGCGATTGACATTCTACAAGAATTTGGTAGTCCATGAATTTTCGAGAAAATTCTCCACAGCAGCAGCAACAGTTATATCAATGGTTATTTTGGGTTTTCCATCACAGCACTTTTTGAAGTGCGTACGGCCCACGTAATTCAGCAAACTTCTCTCTCGGAATCATTTTTGAGCAACCGTAATTACAACCTACATTTAAGAAATGTACTGCTTTTTCATATTCATTAGAACCATTATTTTCCATATACGGGTAATCTTATATATTAATTTTATAACTTTGCCATCTTTTACGGATAATATTTGCAGCATACTTTATGCAATGCCAAATCAATCTGATATCATACTTATGTAAATTAAAAAACCGTTTACTATTGCACTGATTGTTAATATTAATTGTATTACATGATCGAAATTTATTTATTATATAGGGTTTTGGTTGATGGCCAGGCAAGTACCTTAATGCCGTTTGCCGCCTTCCATTCCTGGGCGATTTTCGAACGATGCTTTGGATCGTTATCTTCTTTAAGAACCAGTCTAAGTTATCTTCACCAAAAGTTCAGAGCAGAAGCCAGAAGACCCTCATCATAGATTCTACACATAAAGTTAGCATCAAGGTTCCTCTGGAAGCATATTAACTTACCAAACCCCGAAGAAGAAAAGCCTGGACCTTCTGCGGATGCTTAACAGTATGTATTATTTTTGATGTAAACAGCTGAAATGTGCTCTCCTCCGTAAAAATAACCTTTGCTCCAATCAAAGTTTCGATGATTCTTCGCCCATTTCAGCCGTTTTTTCGGGTGCTGGCTTGTAATATAGTTTGGGGCAATACTATACAGGCGTCGGATACTTTTGCGCCCTACTGTAATACATCTGAATGTGGTTCAGTGACTATGATTCCGATTATGAGTCAGATAATGAAACCAATACTATTGAGACTCCAGTGCCCCAACCCCCTAAACAATTGTCTCCCACAGAGCGTCCCAGTCATCCTGCGATTACCTTCACCGAAAAGACTTACTAATACTAAACAAAATTCGTGAAGTCGTTTCTTCACTGCTAGAGATATTAATATGTTAAATGATAAAGGTTCATTGAAAGATGTAAGATTACACTGATGGGACTATCTCTTACCTAATTATGGTGCAAAGGATGGAATTAGTATATTAGATGCATATAAAAGGCAAGAATTAATATTAATTAATAGATTGATTATCCGAATTGACCAAAAAGATACAAAGTTTTCTGTCATAGATAATATATATGGAGTTTCTGTGGTGCATAAGACCATAGTATAACAGCTTTGGCAAAAGTTTTAGAGACAGATTCATCTTGGCATTGTTGGATTTACCATGGAATAAAAGTACAGGAGCAACAGCTTTGGCAAATAGAAATAAATTTTTCTCTGATTTCTTTATATTAATATTAATATCTTAATATTAATATAAGATTGGAGAAATGGGTGCAATATCTTTTGCAAAATGTCTAGAATTAAATCAAACTTTAACATTGTTAAATCTCAATAATAATCACATTGGTGCTCAACTCTGGCAAAATACACACACTCTCTCTCTCACTCACACTCAAAAATGTTATTAACCAAGCATACATGTCACAAATGAATATGAACTAGAACAGGAATCATAGTCAGAGAGGATAACATGGATAGTAATAGGGTGTCAGAAGGGTCTCATTATTATTATCATTTCAAGTCTGGTGAACCAATTGATGTACTGCATTAGGCAACGTCATGGATATTACCGAAAGATGTAGTTGTAGTCATACTAATACTAATACTAATACATCAACCACCATTACAATAATAATGAAAAAGAAATGATCTGGTACATAAATTACCATCAAACTGCCGTATTTCGCGACACAGTATAGTGATGCTCTTCTGTCTTTGTTTTCCAAACATTTGTATCTACACACTATAATAGTTATTATTCTGTGATAGATAAAACAGCTTCGCGATAGGTAATAAATATTATATCCAAAGATTAGAGCCGTTTTCGAAGGTAACCAGTTTTGAAACCGTCAAGCAATTAAACAAAGATGGGAAGGATACAAAGAAGTGCTAGGAAAATTATTTGCGTTGAACAGTTTCAGTCATAGTTTAGCGAAAAATGTTATTGAAATTTGCGCATAGTAACAGTATTGTACCAGATAGTAATAGGCATATTGATAGAGTAAGAGATACTTATTACATTATTATTTATCGAGTTAGTTTTACATTCTACTGATTATCGATGTGAGTTGGTTAGCGAAAGCAAGTATTATACAGCAGACACCTAACTGTCCAATCAGTCAAAGTCTAATTCCTATATATGTACAATTGGTATAGATTATTGCATATTTAACACTATAAAGATCTATGCAAATATGAGAAGTTGGTTTCATCGCCAGGACAAAACAAGTTTTCTTATAGTGCATATCTTCCCTAATGTCACATTGACTCTTCTTTTTTCCTAATATGAAGATGAGATAGAAAATGTTAAATAATTGGCAATTTGACGTAATACATAACATCTAGCCCGATTCACATGCTCCATCACAATTCTCCAAGGATTGCCTCTTCGTACAGTTCGGCACCAGATACTTACAATTTCCTATTGCCAGGCACTGTTACGCCATCAGGTCGTACGCGTTTCTTTTTCCTCTTCGCCAATGGTACACTCTCAGAGTCACTCTCATATGCATTCGCTATAACCTTGGAAAGTACTCCACCCTTTTCACCTCCGTATGATATTGCATCCTTAGTACTTGCTGGCGTATTAACAGACGGACTGGCAGAAGCTATATTGGTATTGGCATTTGTATGTGTATTTGAATTACTGTTGACATTATTGGCACCGTTCCCACTATTGCTCCGATTATTACCAGTAACGTTCGAATTATTCGATTTCGATTTACTCTTTAGTTTCTTCTGTTCAGCCTTTTTAGCGGCAGCTTCTGCTTTCTTACTCTCTTGTTCGATACGTTTCTGCTCTGCTTTAATTTTTCGTTGCAGATCTTTCTCAGCCTTTTCGGCCACCTTCTTAGCTGCTTTTCGACCACGCTCTTCCATTCGCTGTCTTTTCTTTTCTTCAGCCAACTGAGCTTCACGTTCTTTTTTGCGTTTTCGTTCTATAGCAAGAGCTTCCGCTTCAATACCCGACGGTTTCGAAACGCGAGGTGGTTGTCTGGGAATTATTCCAGTAATAGGAACTTTCGGCCTCTGACTTCGTTTCTTTTGAGAAACCATCTCGTCCTGGTTTGTAAAATTTAAGTTTTCAATCGTACGCAAGGAGAGTTTGAATATAACGTGGAAAGTTAACTCGAAGATAGATTTAATCTTACTTCTAAAAGACCAATAGCCGCTGATGCCCGTCCCTCAAAATATGGACGAAGTAAACCAATTTGTTTGCTTGGCTCCACCGGTGGGAATGCTTCTGGCGTCGGATATGCAGGAGCTATAATAACCAATCAGTACCGACGCAAAATTAGTAATCCATATGAGAAAACTATATGAATCAAATAGAAAGGTCTTTGCAAATGTTTACCGTTCGTGCCTTGCCTGGTTACAAAAAGTTATTACGTGTCAGTTATATAATGATGATAGACATTCCGACAAGTATACAACACATACCCAGGTCCCTTAACCACATTGTTCTTTGGTTTATCTTTTCCAAAGAATAGCTTAGCCGGAACGCTGAGTGACCCTAATCCGAGCTCTTTGAATCCGAAAAAGTCTTCTCCAAGGTCTTCACCAAAGTTACCCCTATAAAATAATATTAGAGATTCAATAATAATTATAAATAAACGTAAAAGTTATTATTACTCCATACGTACATGGCAAATGCTTCGTCATTATCACTGAACGATGGTTCTTCTGCTTCTTTATCATCTTGCTATTAACATATAAATATGTTGTTACACATGAGATACTCATTTCAATGTAATTCAACGATGTTATGGTCTTACCGCTAAAAGTTCTGTGTAAGTTGCCTCTAATCGCCGATTTACGTCACTCAATCTTACTCCATATCGTTCAACTTCGTCTCGTGTATACGAATCCAATTCATTTACAGAAGATACACCATTTTCATTCAACGTATGCAATAAAATTTCCTATAATTAAAAGTAGTGAATTGACAAGTCACATAAATAAACCCTTTGCTAAAACCTTCATACGTACCTCTGGAGTCATCGTTTTATCGTGCTCGTCGCAATAAGCTCGAAGGCTCTTTCCGAGATTGAGCATATATTCTACTGCAACGTCTGTAAGAACGCTCAGAGCTGATGATTGCGCCGCTATGAGACACAGTAATAAGTAAGTCATTTAATTCGTTGTAGTCAAGCATGGTCTCACAAATGCATGACTAATCATAAAGTCACTCGTAAAAATCACCTTCGAATCCTGCGTGTTGTAACAGTTTAACAACTACGCGCTCCATTAGCGCATTTCCTGTATATTTATTCATTATTAACGGTGGAAGACCATTTATGTTTGTTAAGTGTGGAGGAGTTTTACTATTTGATGGAGCAGTTTCGGAAAGACCAAAATAACTAACCTATTAACGCAAAATATTATTGTAGTGTTTATATGAAAGCAAGGTAAAAAGCGCTTAATAATTTACGTACGGGAATATTCTGCTTCGCTGCTGCAATCTTAGACTGCACAATTCTCGCCTGTCGTAATGTTTCGATATTCTTGTCTACCTGGGCTGCGGTGCCTTTCTTAGAAAATTGAACTTCAGGATACATGTCCAACGTTGGTCGCTCCTCACTACATAATAAGTTCATTGAACATCAAAATCATTGTTCCTGGTTAATCAATCAATTATTCACGTTAGATTAATACCTCTCGATCGCGTAAAGGTCAAATAACTTCGACCGATTCTTATTGTAGATTTCTGGATCCCAAATGTCTGGTACTTTAGGTAACTTAAGTACCAGATCGTTATCTGCGGTAGATGGTATCACGTCAGGAAAATTATCGGCAGCTGTTTCCGTTATCTCTTGTTCTTTTGGTTCTAGAATACTCTCATTCTCAAAAGGAGGATCTGCGAATGCGAATTGTATTAATACTGAAAATGTTTAACACCAACATCAACAACAATATATTTGTTGGAATCACTGCGTATTTGCTACTTGCCGTTTTTCTCATCATCATAAATAGACATGCCCTTCTCTATTTCTGCCCGTGAGCGTATATGGATGTTTGGTACACTCTGCAACAAAACGCGAGTCTTCTCCTCCATTTTGAACGCGTGCTCACGATATATGCTATCCTGAAGAAAACAATATTAGTTTCAAAAATATCCATCATCTCCCATCAGATACATGTGCACTCACTGGACGTGTATTGTAAGTCAAACAGTTCTTGTATATGAGAAACAAATCATCAGCAAATTCTTTCTTCGATTGGTATTGTGAACTTTTTAGCTTCTTTGTCATAGTGCCCAAATCCATAGGATTTGTTATAACTAGAAAGATAATTTATGAACATCTCATTATTGTAAACTTTAATTGCTATAAGCGTTCCAAGACAAATGTAAACGTACCATTGTAGTAACCAGGAGCTTCCCTCTTGTTTACTTTTTGTAAAAATGGCTGCGAATGATCCTACTCGAAATGAAAGGACAATAGTCATTATATGATTTTTGTCTAATTTATACAATTATCATTTTATTATGAGCAGAAACTTTACTGTATATGCTTTGAGAGCGTTGAGAACCGCTTCCATTGCCTCATATAGTTCTGCCTGTCCTATTCGATTACTGTCGGCCTATAAGCAGATCAATTACTCACAGATTAATTACAATGTATACCATAATCAACTGCTTACGATCACTTCATTCCATACTAACCCATCGAGAGCCAACAGCGCGGACTTCTGAAAGCAATGTCGTCAATTCCCA